CGATCCTCCTCCTCCTCCTCCTCCTCCTCCTCGATTCTCCTCCTCCTCGATTCTCCTCCTCCTCGATTCTCCTCCTACTCGATCCCGGATCCTCGACAGTGGGCCCCGTCCTCTTTGAGCATGTGGCAACTGCCGCCCGCCACGAGGGCGAAGGGCCGCTGGCAACACGTGCCCAACAGCCGTTGGAAGTCAGAGCTACGGCGCTTCCCGCTGGGCGCACCCAGAGATCTGAGGATATCATGTTTTAGATCCGGCGGTTTTTTTCTCCGGATTTCGGCTTCTGGTGCCCGTCGTCGAGCCCGGGGATCATCAAGAATTGCTCGGGGTCGAGCAGCCACCCCCGGGGAAGGGGTCAGGACCTTTTGGGGCCGCGGACTGAGACAGGAGGCCACGTCTGCGGATGTCTGGGCAGGTCGCGCTGCGGCTTGAGAAGACGGAGGCTCGACAGTTGCGGCGACGGAGGGGTGGAAGGACAGGGAAGTGACGCCTCGCGCACGAGCTCCTACGAGGAATTGCGGTGGCATCCGCCCGCGCCCTGCGCAGGGCAGAGATCTGCCCGCCAGCTCGGCCCCAGGCCCGTGCTCGCCGCCGCCGGTGCGGGTCCGCCCTGATGCTCGGGTTTCCCCGTCGTCGCGTTGGGCTTCGGGCGTGCTCGCGTCCATGGGGCTTGCGCCCTCCGCTTGCCCCCCTGGGTGCGGCGGATCCATATCTTGTCCGTAGGGTGCAAGCGACTCACATGCACCATTGCTGGCTTGCTCTCTCTCTCTCTCTCTTTCTCTCTTTCTTTCTATTGCCCACCCCGCCCTGGAGAGCCGTGGGCTAGCGCTGCTGAAGCACGACCCGCCAGCCGAGAGAAGCCCATCGAGCTGCCTTGGAAGTACACATGGGGTCCTGATGCCAGGGTGAGCTCGAGACTTGTTGGTAAGCCTGTCACTGGCAGCATATGACTGTGAAAGGAGTCGGCGGGGTGCTTGTAGAGGCCTCTGGTGCACAACAGATGTTCCAAGGGGTCCGCCTTCAGCTCAGCCGATGGGCGCACTTCGCCATTACTACCACGTGCAGTTTCACGCCCAATTCAAACCTCAGAGCAACCCCGCGGTCAGTGCTCAATAATGTTCCAGGCTTCACCCCAAAGTTGTCCAAATAATTACTTCAGGCAAGCCATATGTTGCGGCCTTGGCTCGTGTGTTGCCCGCAGCATTGCACCCGCACGATCGCGTACACCTTTCCTGGTAAGCGGTGTATTCACTTGCTGCGCGCACTTGACCATTGCGCGCGCGAGCTGGCTGCACCAGACGAGACAAAAGAGAATTTGCCGAACGACCTACATGAAGATATTGGACGTCTTGGCCTTAAGCAGTGCTGGCGGCACCAGCGTCAGTGGCAGCTCCGCTCCGCGCTTTTCTACCAGCATGCTGGCATGGTTCTGCCGATGCGCTTCGAATTCAATTCTTTGCAGAGGAGGGGGAGGAGGAGGAGGAGGAGGAGGAGGAGGAGGAGGAGGAGGAGGAGGAGGAGGAAGAGGAGGAGGAGGCAGAAGAAGAGGGATAGAAGGAGGAGACAGAGGATGCAGAGGAGGACGAGGAGGAGGAGGAGGAGGAGGAGGAGCAGCAGCACTCAGTCATGGAACGCCTTCTGGTGTCGTTCATACGTTGCAATAAAGCCTCCCTCCAAGGTCCCTCGTTGTAGGTCCCTACCAGAAGTTGTGTTATTGTGGGAGGTGTCCATTGGCAGACAACCATCTGAAAATCCTCAATCGTGCCAGCCGTTCCTGGGGCGCCAACGCCGCGCCGCGAATCAATGTGCTTGTTGCGTCCTGACACTCTTTTACCGTACCAGAACACCGCTCCTGGGATTCCCAAACCGCGAATCGACGTGACTGCTGCGTCTTGACAGATCGAGACTGCACCAGAACACCATCCCTGGGACTTCAACACCGCGAATCCAACCACCACTCCTGGGATTTCACCCCCCACGAACCCTCAAACCTGCTGGGGACGTTTGCGACGAATGCGCGCGGCGCTGTGGCGGGAGTCGTACGTTGAGGAGACCCGCCCTTGAAGCTGTTGCAAACTTTGAAGACGAATGTGTGCGGCGGCCACATTTTGAAAACCGGCCGCGCCGCCGCCCAACTTCGGAGCTGGCGCAAATTTCAGAGGTTCAGGACCATACGCGGCTAGGAAGTTTCGGGCGAATTCGCCGGGCCCTCCCTGCCAACACGCCTGGGGCTGCGACGTTGAGGAGCTGCTCGCAAGGACAAGGGATGCAGGAGGAGGCCTTCGGGGGAGTCTGCCGGGGGGGTCACAGCCCTTCCGAGGAGCAGTTCTAGACCCCCCCCAGGCCAGCCACGTAAGGGCGGCCTCTTGCCCAGAACCCTCTTGGAACCCTCCAAGGCAGCTCGAATCAGACCCCCCCCCCACAAGTGTGACCCCTCCCCCGCCGCACTTTCTTGTGAAATTCGGGCCGGACGAAAGGGGGGGACTGGGAAAGGGGGGGTTACGAAATCTGCTGCATGCAGCTGGTTTCGGCCTCACCGAGGGGCCCATTCCTCGATACACAGCCGCCTGCGGCGGCGGGAGGCGCCGGGGAAATCAGCTGCGTGAGCTGATTCTCAAGACCCCCCCTTTGCTATCCCCCCCCTTTCGCCCGACCCGAGAAATCCGGAGTGCGGAGGGCTCGGGGGACCGGACGGGGTTAGGACGGGGACAGATCCGTCCCTGAGCGTTCTGGAACGCTCTGAGGAGGCCACGGCGCCCGAGACGTCCGCCGGAGCCGCCAGATCTCAGAGATTCCCGATCTATCCTCATCCGGACGTATCCTCGTCCTGCTTTCGTCCTAGGATCAGTCTCGTTCAACCGACCCCCATCCCTATCCTCATCCCTTTCGAGACCCTCACCTACTCAATTACCACCCCAGTCGGGGATACACCCTTCGAAACCCGAAGGGCACGGCCTGTATCCCCATCTAGGGGGGTAAACCGGCCAGTGAGGCCCAGGCCACGCCGCTGGGGATGGGGATCGGTGAAAGGATGCTCATAGGAGGAGGAGGAGGAGGAGGAGGAGGAGGAGGAGAGATGCGTAGGACGAGGAGGAGGAGGAGGAGGAGGATATCATAGGAGGAGGAGGAGGAGGAGGAGGAAAGGAGGACAGAGGAGGGGGGAGGGAGGAGGAGGAGGAGGAACGAGGAGGAAGGAGGGAGAGGGAGGAGGAGGAGTGGTGGGCCGAGGGGGTGGCCGCGGCCAGTCTGCGAGGGGCCCTCGTCGCGGTCAGTTCCCGACAGCAGCCGGCTTGACCGACGAGCCAGCACGACCGCCGCGTCGCACCCGCAGAAGAGGCGCGCCCGCGGGGAGCCGCCGGACGGCGAGCCAGCGCTGCTCGCCGCTTGCCCGGCTCCCTCTTGGCCCGAGAGCCACGCGCGGCTCCTCCTCCTCCTCCTCCTCCTCCTCTCTCCTCCTCATCCTCCTCCTCACTGCCTCTCCCGCCTCCTCTCCTTGTCCGCCTCCGCCTCCCTCTCCTCCGTTGTCCTCCTCCTCCCTCTCCCTCCCCCCATCCTCCTACTCCTACTCCTCCCCCACTCCTCTGCCTCCTTCCTCCTCCTCCTCCTTACTCCTCCTCCCCTCCTCCCTCTCCCTCCTCCTTTTCCTCCCCTCCTCCTCCTTTTCCTCCTCCTCCTCCTCCTCCTCCTCCTCCCTCCTCCTTCTCCTCCTCCTCCTCCTCCTCCTCCTCGGGAGGGCCAGAGCGCTGGAAGGCCGGGGTGACCCGGGAAGGCTGGGGGCGCCCGGAGGCGAGCAGGCTGGGGAAGCTCACGAGCAAGCAAACGAAAGCTATGTGTGTGTGTGTGTGGAGAGAGAGAGAGAGAAACAAAAAAAACACATATATGTATAGCAAGAGAGAGAGAGAGAGAGAGCGAGAGAGAGAGCGAGAGCGAGAGAGAGAGAGAGAGAGAGACAGATGAAAGAGAGAGAGAGAGAGGAAACAACCAACCGAGGGCTAGGAGCTGGGAGCGCGCGAGGGGCGCACGACGAGCGCGCGAGGAGCGCGCGAGGGCCGGAGAGTTCGGGGACTGCACGGCCGGAAGGCACGAGAGCCAGAGGGGGGGGTCCTCCTGCACGTCTCCCCGTCGCCACGGCGCTGGCGCGCCTCGAAACGTCCAGGGGGCCACGTGCGAAGCCTCCCCCTCAGAAGTCCCGGGGGGTAGGGGTAGGAGTCAGGGTTCGCATGTAATGCCCCCAACGTCTGCCAGGACGGTGCCCTGGAGAGAGATGCGGGGGCGGGCAGTCACCGCTGATGGTCAGGAGGAAGAACATGGTGGGGGCGTTCGTTCGGGAACGTGCCCTTGAGGCTTCAGAGCAGGGTTCCTTTTCTGATGAGGGCGGCGGTGATGTCCATGGCCAATCCACGATTGGCTTTCCTCCGGCTTCCAGACCCTGGCTTCCTTATCCAATTGTTCCTTATACAATGCCTTCTCCGCAGTGCTCCCCCACGCTCAGCAAAGGGAAATCGGGGATTCAGGCTGCACCCAGATAGCAGGCAGACAACGCGTTGAAAGTTGGCTTCGAATGGTTGAGAGTAGGGCAAGAATATTTGAGATGGCTCCCCACATGCTCCAAGAGGCTCCAAGACCGCCATCAGGCGGATCCACGTGGCTACGGAGCCTCCCAAGGAGGCCCCCAAGAGTCCCAACTTCGTCCAAGAAATAAGGACAGCAATAACTAGTTGCTGGCCTTCTCGCCTTGTCGCTTGCGATGGGCTATGTTAAGGCATCAAGATGGCCCCAAGACGGCCCAAGAGAGCTCCAAGAGCGACCCACGAGAGGCCCAAGACGACCCCAAGACGGGCCCAGGAGGGCCCACAGAGAGCCCTGTTGCGAAAAGGTTCACAAAGCCCACCCACCCACGGCTTTTGAGGCTTCCAGATAGGCTCAGGATGGCCCGGACGAGGCACGGGACAGCTGTCCAGGCCCAGGAGGGGCCCCACACGCCCCCCCGAGGTCCACACCGTAGCCAGTTTGGCTCCAGGACGCGCCCGCCGCCGCCGCCCCCGCCGCGCGCGCGCGCTCGCTCCATGGCGTCCGCCGAGGCGGAGATCGCGGCGGAGCGGGCGCTGTTGGCCGAGGGCGGCACCGGCGGCGACGAGGCCCTGGGCGGCGACGTGCCCACGGTGGACCTGGCGGCCGGGGACGAGGCCGCGGCGGCGGCCCTGTGGGAGGCGGCGACGACGGTGGGCTTCTTCCAGGTCGTGAACCACGGCATCGCGCAGGCCGAGATCGACGCCGCGTTCTCGGCCTCCGCGGGCTTCTTCGCGCGCCCGGTGGAGGAGAAGGAGCGCGCCTCGCCGTTCGCCCCCGAGGCGAACTCGGGGTACGAGTTCATGAAGCAGGTCCGGCCCTCGACGGGCACCGCAGACCAGAAGGAGAGCCTCCAGATCACAGCGCGGCAGGGCGCGATGGAGGGGCGCTGGCCGCAGGAGCCCCCCGGGTTGCGGGGCGCCTCCGAGCGGCTGCTGGACTCGGCGCTGGCGGTTGGCAGGCGCATCCTCTCGCTGCTCGAGACGAGGGCCTGTCCCAAGCTGGCGCCGGGCACGCTGAGCAGGGCGCACACGCTGTGGGGCCCGCAGGGCCAGTGCACGCTGCGCATGCTGCACTACTTCCCCATGGAGCTGCGGGCCCTGGAGGCCCTGCGAGCAGACGGCGGCGGGAGGATGCACTGGCGGGCGGGGCCGCACACGGACTGGTGCTGCGCCACGCTGCTCTTCCAGCGGCCAGGCGGCGACGGCCTGGAGTGCGCGCCGAACCCGAGGGTGGGCGGCCCGTGGCTGCGAGTGCCGCCGCAGGAGGGGGCCATCGCCGTGAACATCGGCGACATGCTCGGGCGCTGGTCCGACGGGCGCCTCCTGTCGAACCTGCACCGCGTGCGCCTGCCGACGCCCGCCGAGTGCTCCCCGGCGAGGCCGCGGTACTCGATCGCCGTGTTCCTGCAGGCAGACAGAGACGCCGAGATCAGGTCGGAGAAGCACCCCACCATCACCGCGGGCGACTACATCCTCGGCCGCATCCGCAGCAACTTCGCCTCCGGTCCAGCCCCGAAGCGGCAGAAGGTGGCGGCCGACGCCGCGGCATAGTCGCCGAGGTGGCCCTCCACGCAGCCAGCCAGCGGATGCGCGCTCGTCGCGCCCGCGCGCGCGCGCGCGCTCGCGCGGGCGCGCGCCTCCAGCACGGGCGCAGGCCTCGTGCCGCAGGGAGGTCAGGGCTGTGCGCGCGGGCAGCGCGTGGCATCGCTGCTCCTGTCAAACTGCTGGGGTACGCCCTGGGGCGGGGCCGTTGCCAAATGTCTGCCTGGCGCACGCATGGCCACAGCGAGGCCAGGGCGCGCTTCGACCATTGTCTGGGCGTGTGGTCGCGCACGTTTTCCTTGCTGCTCTGTGAAATTGCTGGAATATGCCCGAGAGCAGCGGCTGCCGCGCATAGTAGGCATACAGGCCCTCGCAAGCGCTGTCGGTACATATGATTACCTTACCACGCGGTCGCGATCAAAAGCACGTTTCCCGAGGCCCAAAACGAAGCTTAGCTTGCAAGACGGCCCCAAGAGGACCCGAAGGGGGTCCAAGTTGCGAACATGCAACCAGATCACAGCGTCCTGCATTTTTTGGAGGGGAGACGTGAGAAGCAGCAGGATGAGGAGGAGGAGGAGGAGGAGGAGGAGGAGGAGGAGGAGGAGCATCATGCAGCAGCCCAGTCAGTAGCCGCGCGGCAGCCCAGACGAGCATGGCACCTGTATGCGCAGCGGCAAACCAGCACGGCAGACCAGCACAACCGATCAGCACGGAAACACATACCAGCATTGCAGATCATCACGGCAGACCAGGCCAGCACGGCAACCCAGACCAACGCGGAAGGCCAGACCTGCACGACACCATTAGTGTGTGGTGCTGGTCTGCCGTGCTGGTCTGTCGCGCTGGTCTGTGATGGTGCCCCGTTCACTCGAATGTCATGTCTTCGGCGAGGGGGAAGTCGTGAGACGTGGGCAGGGGAGAGGGGCAAACTCCTCCCCGCAGGGGAAGGGAAAAAGGGGGGCTGGAATAGAACGCGCCCCAGACCACCTGCGCCCCAAAGGGCCGGTGGGATTCCCGAGCAGCCCATCGGTCGGGTGTTGCCAGAGGTGCCCACAGCACAAGCTGTCCCCAGCTTTCCGCGCCAGCTTGCCGCCCCAGAGGAGCGCTCTGGGCCGCGCTGTGGTCAATGGGGGCCTCCCGGGAAATACTAGGGGCACGTTTCGGAGGAGAAAAACCGCCACAAGCATCAGCTTTTGGCGCTCCGCGTGGATGTCTTGGATCTGCGCTGGGCCCCCCTCACTGGCGCGCGGGGCGCCAGAAGCTGTTGTTCGTGGCATTCGTTCTTCTTCTAACCTTTGGGCCGAGGACACCGCTGGCAGCATCCGCCCTGGGGGGCGTCGGCGTCGGGTGACCGCCGAGCTCTCCCGGACCAGCTGCCGCCAGCTCAAGAGAAGAGGGTGTGACGAGGGGGCGGCGGGGGAGGGAGCCACGGCCCACGGCCGCGCCGCCGCCGCCGCCCCCGACGACGCCGCCGCCGCCGCCGCCGCCGCCGCCGCCGACGACGACGACGACGACGACGACGACGACGACGACGACGACGACGACGGCGACGGCGACGACGGCGAGGGCGACGGCGACGACGGCAGTGGGCCCCTGCCCGCAAAGCCCCGCCCCTGCCGACCCGCGCGGCTCGAGGGGAGGAGCGCCCTCCCGCAAGGCCTCCGCGCGCGCCAGGGGGAGGGCCCCTCGGGCGCGGCGCGGCGGCAGCCTCAGCAGAGGCGCGCTGTTCTTCTCGTCGTCCTCTTCTTCTTCTTCCTCCTCCTCCTCCTCCTCCTCCTCCTCCTCGTCCTCCTCCTCTTCCTCCTCCTCCTCCTCCATCTCCTCCTCCTTCTCTTCCCTCCTCCTCCCCCTCCTCCTCCTCGCCTCCTCTTCCTCCTCCTCCTCCTCCTCCTCCCCCTCCGCCTCCTCCTCCTCCTCCTCCTCCTCCTCTTCCTCCTCCGTAGCCAATTTTTGCTCAAGCTACGGCGCGTGCTGTAAAGCATGCTGGGGCCATGGCGGCCTCCTTCGGCAGCACTCGGATGCGCTGGGGCTCCGTCTCCAGGGGCTTCAGCAAGGTGCGCGGTTGGCTCGCCATCGCGGTTTGCTGACCACTGCAGTGGCGAAGAAGGTGGCCAACGTCGACGTCGCCTTCAACGTATTGCGCCACCTCGCGCGGCTGGGGTGCTTCGACGTCTCGTGCGAGGTCGGCTTGCTCCTTCGTCGTGATGGTGGCCAGCTTCGTGCCTGGTGGCCCTCACTTCGTGCCTGCTGGTGCTGGCGGCGCCGGCGCGGCTGGGGTGCCCGCCCCTGGAGCCCCGGTGGGCACTGTGGGTGCGCAGGCGCGGGCGCAGGCGGCTGGCGCGGCGGGCGTGCGCCTCCTCAGTGCTTGGCGGCGCGCAGAGGGGAGTAGGGGGAGGGGGGAAGGCTTCTTAGAAGCGCCCTGCTTCTTAGAAGGCCTCGGCCTTACGTCTATACAGAAGGCCCGCGCCTTCTAAGAAGCAGGGGGTGCTTCTAAGAAGCCTTCCCCCCTCCGCCTACTCCCCTCTGCGCGCCGCCAAAGTGCCTCTGGGGGCACCGAGGGTGCGCAGGCGCAGGCGCAGGGGGAGAAGCGTGAGATTGATCGTGCTGTTGCTGATGGCCCTGCTGGACACGCTCCTCCCGAGCGTTCCCGCGGCGCTCTTGGGCAGGATCGCGCTGAAGCTGGTGGGCGCGAATCTGCTGTGCTTGCTCCTGGCGGCTGCCACGATGCTGCAGATCGTGTTCTGGAGGCGCTTGGTGTGCAGGCTCTTGCTCCTGACGAAGCTGCTCCTGAAGAAGCTGCTCCTCTCGTAGAGTCTCTGGTCGGCGTCGGCCGCGCCGCCCAGACTCATTTTGAATATGTTCGCTACGTTGCTGCCGTACCTGGTCCTCCGGAGCGTGGCGCCGATGTCCCTGCTGCGCCTGCTGCTGGTCGCGAGCCTGCTCGTGCACCTTCCCCCTGGGCGAGCTGGTCGTGATTCTTGCCGTGATCGCATCCGGGCGCGGCGGTTCGGCGCGGGCTCGGAGTTCTGCCGCGCGTGCGCCGGTGCGGCGCGCGAGGCCCGCGCGCGCTGGTGGTGGTTCTTCTTTCATCCTGCGGGCGTCCTGCGATGATCCCGAGCAGAGTCCAGCCCAAAAAATCTCTCCTCCTCCTCCTCCTCCTCCTCCTCCTCCTCCTCCTCCTCCTCCTCCTCCTCCTCCTCCTCCTGGGACCTTACTCCGGCCCCGACGCCCAGGCGTGGGCGCGTACTTCAGTGCCGACTGCTGCGGCACCTGACGCCAGTTTTGTCTATCAGCTGCCAGGAGAGAGAGAGAGAGAGAGAGAGTCTCGATGGTTCTGTCCCATGGTGCTCGGGAGCGCGAGCTCCCAGCAGGGGGTGGTGCACGTCCGAGGTGGCCGAGCCGCGGTCCGGGCTCCTCTCTATCCCGCCTGCGCGGGACCTGGCGTCGCTTTTGCTTGGCCACGCGCAAGAGCGACCCTTCGCAGGAGTGCGGTCGGCGAGCGAGGGGGGGGAAGTTCGAGTCATTCGGGCGTTTTCGCCACCTCTCGGCGATTTGCTAGCCGCGGGATGATTGACAGCAGCTGCGCCTCGCCGAGGGCGTTCCGGGGGTGCCCGGATCGTCCCGAACGGCCGCCGGAGATTCGAGTCATGTTCGGAGAACCAAATGCGGCGGCGAGCCCGACGGAGGGGGGGAGTGAAAAGGAGAAGGCCTCTTCAGAAGGCGGCGGGACTCCTCGGAAACACCCGCGCCTTCTGAGAAGATTTTTTACTGCGCCGTCGGGGAAGGCTTCCAACAACTTCTCGGAGAGCCTGGGGACCTCCGAGCCTTCTGAGAAGGACTCCTACGTGACGACATCTGGGTTTCGGCGTCCCGGCGCCTCCGCCGAGCACTTAGAGGGCCGCCCCCCCCTCCTCCCCCCCTTTGGGGCGAACATCGGCGCCTTGCCTTGCCTTGCCATATGCCCCCCCAGGCTCGCCGCCGATCCCGCGCAAGGGTGACCCTTCGGAGGAGCGACCCCTGAGCCGAGGGATCCCCCCTTTGGCCCTGCGCTCGCCCAGCTGCATCGCGACCCAGGGATGCCTTCCCTCGAGACCTTTGTCGCGCCTCACTGGGTGACGGAGCTTTCGGAGGTTCTCCGCTTCCGATTGACGTACACATGGCAGCTCCGCGTGCTTAGACAGATCAACATCCTCGAGACCACAGTCTGTAAGAGTTTGTGCAAGTACGGTTGCATCCAGATCTGGTGCGGGGCCAGAGGGATCCCCCCGCAACCTCAGTCACTTTAAGCTGCAGCATATCGACTCTTGTGTTTCACCGAAACCATGGAGGACTATACAGCCCAGCATTTAACAGGCCAGTTTCACGTGTATTTTGGCCGCTCCCTCGTTCGGCGTCCTCCTTAGCCTGTTATACTTATTACTCAGCTTTGACTCGATCGGTCGTTCCTCCTCTCACACCGCCTCCCTGGCGCATACTTTGTGCCCCTGAGGGCCCAATTTCTTAGCCTGTACTCTTTGCCTGACCGTTTCTGCTGTGCCTAAGGCGTCGTTTGTTGTTTCTCCTCCGCGCAAGTCGGCGATTGTTTTGCAATCGCCACGTACCGCAATAGGCTCCGCTTCATGCCTGCCGAACGTCACAAGAGGAAGAGGAAGAGGAGAAAGG